AAAGGTAAATAGAAACAAAATAAATATTACAAACGGATATTAAATAATTAAATAGCTTATTATGACAGTATTTTTGAAAAATAAAGATATTAATTAAAATTTTCTTATTGTGAGTTTTAATGAAATTGTATGTTCAAAGATTCGTTAAAAAAACAATTATTAAAGAAGTAAAAAGTTATTAAAAACGAAAGAATATAAAAATATTCCAAACGACTTCTTAAATAAGTATAGATGACAGTAGATTTAACGGCAAAGACAATTTGTTTTGCTTACACTGATTCCTATGCTGAGAACCGCATTAGGATAATCCAAAGCATGAAGAGTTTTATATGTTCCAGCATCGTAAATCTTAACATGCCTGTCCAACGAACCAGATAGTATTCTATGACCATTAGAAGCAATTTTCAGGCAAGTTACAGTTTTATGATGTTGTGTAATTTTCGCGACCAATTTGCCACCCGCAAGAGCATCCCATACTTTAATATCTGAACCACCTTGAAATTATATTAAATAAGTAATAAATAATTTTATATAAACCCTCAATTGTATGAAATTGTATATAATGTGTATATAATATGTATAATTATACATATTATTTACTAAAAAATGTATAAAATTTTTTAAATAATAATAAACGATTTATTAAAATCGTAAATAACAATACGAGTAACAATTTAATACCTGTAATGATCAAAACAAAATCTATTGATGCTTATAATTTCCATATAAATTTATATATTGTATTATTTATATATTGTATGTACATAATATATTCATTTGAATTGCACATCAAAATTTTTTAAAATTATATAGATACATAAAATATAATCAATCATAAATATTATACCTGCAGACAGAAATATTCCTCCAGTCGGCAAGAAGAGTAAACTTTCTACTGGTGCGTTATGATTAACACTAAATACCTTCTTATTTGTTCTGGCATCATACATATTCACAATTTTGTCATACCCGCCGGATAGTAACACATCAGAGGATACAGGACTCACTGCGCCGGCTCTGATATAATCTGTATGTTCATTGAAGCTTGTCAATTGTTTTTCACTAGGTATGTCCCACAAAGCTACAGTCTTATCGTCTGAAAATGAGGCAACACGAACATCATCTGCTGTGAAGAAAACTCTGTGCACTGCAGCCTTGTGTCCAGAAAAGATTCGCAACACGCTATTTGAACTGATATTAAAGAGTTTAATCACTGCTTCTTCTCCACCGACACACAACAGCTTGCCATCTCTACGAAAGCAACCTCCATATGCAGCTTCTTTGAACTTGCTGTAAGTTTTTGTAGCTAACTTTGTGATAGGATTATACAGTTGTACTCGTACTGAGCAGGTTGTTGCGAAATAATGTGGCTCTACTGGTGAAAAGTCAATGTAGTCTATCGGACCAAATTCTTTTATTAAAACTGGAGGCTGTAAACATACATAATTACCATAAATAATTTATCATTCTCTATAAATATAATTTTAATATACGCATAGATTACAAAAATTAATCCTTAATATACACAATGATTTTCTTTACTCAGAGGGTCATTCATGTTCCGAATTAATTTTTATCACTTTAATAAATACACAAAAATTATTAAATGTACTTCTTACATACTTTAACATCTTTAGAAAGTATTTCCAAGGTATTTATATATTTTTAAAAATTATATATAAATGTTATAACTAATTACTTGATGCTCTTTTTTTTGAAGAAAAGAAATATGCTGAGCATGAATGATTTAATCATATATACTAAAAATTAAAAATTTAAGAGATGTTTTAAAGATATCACATTTATTATAGGCAAAAAGAAATA